GTTTCCAAGCCAGAAACATGTGGTTTGGAGTTTTCGTTAAGGCTTATTTATGCTCAACGTTAAATACGAATCCGGATATGGACGGAGCCTTCTGTCCGTGCTCCGCGTTCATTTCGTCAGTATTTCTGCACGTTTCCATAAAGCTTAAGGATATGGGCCAAATGGTGCAGTACCACCGGGAACCGTGGGGGCAGTGTTGCTGTCACTACCCGATACGTAGCTCTAGTGAGACACGAAGAAGAAATAACAATTCAATTTCTTTCATCGGCAGTACTAGAGAAAAGAATTCTCCGTCCTCCAGTCGCGATGTATTTAACGGCCTCACCGACCACCGCCTCCTACAACGCTGCCTCTGTTTTTGTCTTTTATGCAAGAGGTACATTATCAATATCTCCTACAGTCGCCATGTTTGTTTTTGAGTTTGTTGTTGTCATAAACTTTTGACGCTGGGCTGCCTCCTGGTGGATATATTGGTTAACATCCATGCCAACATAAAGGGCGCATGAAAGCATGTGGGCAGTGACAGTAACATCGTTTGAAACCGACGTATATATTTTCGTACATAAAGGGAGCATAAATGAGCCCTTAGTAGCAAGCCAGTTTCCTATAGTTACCCACCAGAGTCCTGTCATCTTTTTATCAATTTAGGTCCGGTCGGCCAAAGTCCATTTAAAAAGTCCTAATGTGGTTTTAAACTTCCTGTAACGTTATATGTGCGTGTGTGGACTGTGGAACTCGTTTTGACGTTACTGTTAAGTTGCTGATAAATGAATTAATGGTATAGCAGGTTAATAAACAGTCGCTCCGCAGGCATCATTTGTCACTATAGCAACGTGGAGTATAGAAATGTCACTGCCTTGTTGATGATGAAATGTGACGCGAAGATGAGCTTGTCTGTGTGTACTGTCTACTCTATTCTGTGGTGCAGGCTCTCCACTCCTATTTTACACATTTCCTGCAACAAGTTAATAACAGTCACAAGCTTTCTGTAGAAAGAGGATTGTCCTGCTGTTTAGATGGTGAATTGAATTAATTTCAATGAATTCAGCTCAGTGTAGTAGATCTATATTGTCTGCAAGAGAATTAACCATGTGTTTGTTTTCTTCTGTCTAACAACTCTTCGTGTGATCCACCCCATTAACCTCGACCTGTAGCCTACCATCTTTATAAGTATACGCTGTCTTCAAGTAAGTTTTGCTTTTCTGTTTTAAATCTTGTTCTCTCAGTGAACATGGTTTATCATAAAATATGAGTCTTTCTCTCTTGCTCACACACACTCTCTATCCCTGATAGAAATGCCAGGCCAGGGATCCACGTTGAGGGAGTGTGTGGTCTGCAATGCATAGCTTAATGTGGCCTGCAAAACCTGCAAGGTATGCAAAGCTGAGCAGCCATGAAAGTTGAGGCTCAAGTATAAAATAGAAAATTTTGATAAGAAGCGGGAGAGCTGGGTCAATACCCACATGAAAAATAGGACCGCCTCGCATATTTGCGATGAAGGTTACATATTGGTATGTTATCCCTTTTATTCTTTAAATTCTGTGCAGTTTCCAAATGTTGCTTTTTATATATCTTTTATTGTTGTTGTTGTGCGTATGTGTGTGCCCTTTGTAGCTCGAAAAATTGCAGGCCCTTGGAGTAAGGGCTGTTTTGTTTGTCTCAAAGGCTGGGAGGAAACCTGGTTCTTGGGTTTCAGAGGTTTTGGCACCCCGTTGCCAGCTCTCAGAAACCTCCACCACATGCCTGGAGAGGATGAAGAGCCTGTATGACATTGTTATTCAAGGTAAGAATGTCTTATTTATTAAAAGAGGGACCAAGTTTGAACTCTGATGTGGATTTAGGAAGTGAATTTTTTTTTTACAAACACATAGATAGACTACCTACTGCTTGGTCCCATGATCTTAGCGGCTGAATGATACACAATTACAAATACAATTGTAAAATGGGTTATCTGTGTATTGGATTATGAGAAAACAAAACAGATTATTGTGAACCATTTTTAACATTTATCAAAACAAATCCTAAAAGGTATGGATGATTTGTTTCCCTCGTGCAGCAATAAATTAAATTCTGCTTGAAAAATTAACTCCTGGGCTACTTTAAATCATCACGTACAAAGAAAAATGAAGGAGAGTAATTGAATACTTAAAAGTATTAAATATTTATTGTTAATAGCATAAAGGTAAGACTGGAGCTGCTCCTGAAAAAACAGTAATTCAAGTTATTTGTCAGGAAGACCCCAAGTCAACTTTTTGTCAGTCAGATCTTGGTACTCTTGTATTTAACTGCATCATTATACACAGGGCAATACAGGAGCACAAATGGAGCACAAATGTCTCCAGCAGAGAGCGGCCATTATAATTAGCTATAGCTGCTCCACTGAACATGGCAGACGTGTGTGCCCGTGCAGCTATCGCACGGCTCATCTCTATTTTTTTACATGGCTTGTCTATTTTTCCCTCTTGCACAGCTATGCTGCCCTCAAACAAGTAAAAACCAGCTGCATCTGTCAAAACCCAACATTCACTCTTCAAAGTCGAGTATCTGTCATCTGTCCCTCTTTAAATTTATTTGTTTGTTTGTTTAACAGGGACAGTGCAGAGCTCCTTAGCCACACCAGAGTTAGCAGTAAGCTAATTTTCATCTGTAGTCCCTGGGCAGGAAACAGAGAATAATTTCTCTGCTAAAAGACACTATTATATAAAAATAGAACATATTCATGACACAGCAGCTTCAGTAATAACAATAGCAAGAGAACTCAACATCAAGTCATTGCAACAATAATAACAATCTCCTCAGAAAACACAACCAGCACACAACAAAGACAGTCTATGTAGCTGGTAAAAATCTCTGCTCTGCTCTTCCTATGTGATGCGTCCCATCGAAGCCCCATGTATTTCAGTCAGTGAAATCGGCTAAACCACTTTTGAACCAGGCAGTGGTCGGTGGTACAACCTCCTCTACTGCTGTCCACTGTGATTGGCTGTTCAGCTGACAGCAGCCTGGCAGAAGAGACACTTTTTGGTGCACTTTTATAACTTAAGTATGAGCAGGATACACACTTTTAGTTTCTGACTGCATGTAAAATCTGAGTTTTTGACATCACAAATGACAAAGAAATGCAGTAAAACTTGAGTCTTACAGGTAAATCATGAGACTCATTTAGGCTGATAAGCTAGTGTGGCCTAAACTGAAGACAAACAAAGATTCCAGTCCTCATGTTGAACAGCCTTTATTGTACACTGTGTTTATGACATTAACTGTGTAGAAAACAACTGTAATTAACCCTGACATCACAGCTAGGAGTATATTGGCATACAATGAATTATGTGAATGTATGTCACAGAATACTACTACTGCATTAGCAACATAGTTTAACGTTGATGCCAGTACAGCACATTCAAATTTTATAGTGAGACAAGGAAATTAGCCATGCTGTAATTTAATGATACAGTTTCAGTAAAAAAAAGTGAAGTGTAGTAGACTATCTCATCTTCACATCTTCATCATGTGACACCGTCTTGGGAACAGTTTAATGTTAAATAACTTCTGTTTTGTAAAAGAAGTTTGGTAGAACAATCAATCAACTACAGCCAGTAGACACACCTGTTTCTATTAACGAGTTGTACAAATTTGCAATGTACTAGTGTAATAAATAGATCACACTACTGTTAATATTTATGTTTGTAATATAATTTTCAATAGAGATTTCCAACAAAAACAGTCAGACTGCACAACCATGCCGATTATTTTTAATGGGTTAGCTGGATATATAAAGGATTATTTTTGTGGAGTCTGCACTTGCTTGAATTGACATAGTTGAAACATGTTATTTAATTACATGAATTTGCTTTAGTTGGATTACAGTGAGAAGGACAGGGTTCAATATGATGAGGCAGCTTTATACTGGTATCTACAGACATCAAGTAATTAATTCTTTTTACATAAAGGTAATTATTTCATAATAATTGTGAGTGCTTATAAAGCACTTGTTTTTGGACTAAAAGCTCTCTTTGAGTAAACTTTAAAGTCAAAATCAGCAACATTGTTTATAAACACACCATTCAAACTTTGCCCCTCTTCCCCGGCTCAATGAACAAGTGAGATTGAAAGAGACTTAAATTGTAATTTAGGTGAGCGAGCTTCAGTTGGAAGAAGTGAAGTAAATCAAAGAAACATTACATTATTTTCAAAATTGGTTCACAGCTGTTACATTCTAAAGCAGAAATATATAGGCCCATTGCCTGTCTGTGAATACAGATGACACAATTCTATATGCTGTTTGTGTCCACTCAAAAAGACTGATGTGTGATCTGACTTTTTGCCACTAAGTTCTGACCTCAGAATCCGTGCGCTGTATTGACTGGGGGCTAATCGCTGCTAAAGAGGCTGAAGCCCAGAAATGTTCTGAGTGGGTCATAAGTGATGATTTTGAGGGATTCTGTTTATATAACTCTATACATTGTTTTTTTTGTTTGTTTGTTTTTTAGCAAATTATGCAATGTAACTTAAATTAGTGAAAGTATTTTTACTCTCAATAATTCACTTCTTTTCCAATGGAGGCTGGTTACCACAAGACGCCACAGGACAACTGGGTGAACCCTCATCTACCCCAGTTGATCCCCCAGCTGGAACACTACTGGCTTCACCAGACCCTCAGGTACCAGTGGTCCTTGATCCCCCAGCAGCCTCAGTGACCCCAGTGACCACACCATATATTTATCCTATAAGTTTTGAGTACAGTAATTTACCAGCATTGCTTACAGATTTTGTACCAGAATAACTACAAAAAGAAAACTGATACTAAGTATAAACTATGTGATCTCAATAACCTCTTATCATTCTGTAAAGGCTTGTTTAATGTAGTATTAAGCTTTATGAATTTAATATGTTTTCCGTTCAGAATGTCCACATACAGAGTGAACCCTCATCAACCCGTGTTGATCCCCAGCTGGACCACCAATGGCCTCACCAGACCCTCCAGTACCAGTGGCCCTTGATCCCCCAGCAGCCTCAGTGGCCCCAGTGACCACACCACCACTGATCAGGCCACCACTGACCACGCCACCACTGATCAGGCCACCACTGACCACGCCACCACTGATCAGGCCACCACTGACCACACCACCACTGATCAGGCCAACACTGACCACGCCACCACTGACCATGCCAACACTGACCACACCACCACTGACCAGGCCGTCACTGACCAGGCCGTCACTGACCACACCACCACTGACCAGGAAGTCACTGACCACACCACCACTGACCATGCCACCACTGACCACGCCACCACTGACCACGCCACCACTGACCAGGCCACCACTGACCACACCACCACTGACCAGGCTACCACTGACCACACCACCACTGACCACACCACCAGCAGCCCAAAGTGGAATCTTGGCAGCCTCAGCAGGACCACATGCAGCCCTGACAGGATCCCCAGCACACAGAACACGGAAAAGGAAAGGTGTGTTTTACTGTTTGTAAATTTGATTTGACATTCATTTTTGTAAGTCTTCATGAGGGCTGTATATGCATTTGTAAGGGGTTGTGGCCTATTAGGTTTGGGCAATATATTAAAATTTATCTGTTTAATAACAGGTTTGAAATTTACTATGATTTGATGTCAAACTTCCTGTTTCAAATGCAACCAATATCTTGAGTCGTTTGTAATTTCAAACAATTTCTAAACACGCTTATATATGATAAATAAAGTAGGGTTGCAACAAACAATTATTTTCATTATTGATTAATCTGACAATTATTTCCTCAATTAATCATTCATTTGTTGATCCATGAAATCTCATAAAATGGTGAAAAATGCTGATCAGTGTTTTACAAAGTACAAGATGACGTCCTCAAATGTCCTGTTTTGTTCACTACTCAAAGACATTCAGTTTACTGTTAGAAAGGAGTAAAGAAACCAGGAACTACTGACATATTAGGAAGCTGAATTCAGAATTTGTATGTTTTTTTATTTATTAAAAAAAGACTAGATTAATTTCATATTTGATTACTAATCAATTAATAGTTGCAGCTCTAACCTTAAGTGCTTATGGTTTGAATGCTTTACATTTTATTGAGTGTATACTGTAGAGTGGGACTGATCTAGTCTTGTTCATGACTTGCTCTCAGTTTAGGTGGTCTTGAGCACAATAACCAATATTTTCCCCACAGCACTCATTCTGTGTGTTTGGGTGTTTTACACATTTCCCCTAATTCATACAGTAAGTGTGTCCAGTCCATAGACATTGCCACTAACAAGTAATTTTGGAGCAGATTGTACAATGTACAAGTGCTCTGTTTTTTTCACAGTCAAATGAACTTTACTCTGGGTTGTGAGAAAGTGATCCACATCTCCAAGACACTGCAAGACTGATTTACTTTGTTTTAAATTCATGGATTCAACTTCTGTCTTATTGCTGATATACTTATCCTACATGTTTTGAGTACAGTAATTTACCAGCGTTGCTTACAGATTTTGTACCAGAATAACTACAAAAAGAAAACTGAGACTAAGTATAAACTATGTGATCTCAATAACCTCTCATCATTCTGTAAAGGCTTGTTTAATGTAGTATTAAGCTTTATGAATTTAATATGTTTTCCTTTCAGAATGCCCACATATAGTGTCAGGGAGCCAAGACTTTTACCCTGTGAAGAGGGTTTCCAAATGCAAAGCTATGAAGGTTAATTATAATCCCACTCAAACACAGTCCCTGTCACAGTAATTCAGCCCCTTCTGTAATCAAGAAATTCAAAATTATAAACTTTGTGTCAGTGAAAATAGTTTCAATAGTTCAAGTGTTCCCTTTTGGTAACAGGACATATAAGGCCCTTCTGGACTGTAAGAACTCAACTGTTACAATACAAATTTGGCTATGACACAATTCGAGGTAAAGCTCCTGGAATTAATTTTAAGTTGTTTTTAAACTGTGGGAGCAAAACTTAACAAATTTAAGTCTAAGATTCTTAATGTGATACTTCCAGCTCTGCGTGGTTGTTTTTTCATCCATTGTCAGCATGTGATTTTCATTCAGCAGATATATGGTCTGTGAGAAAATTGTGGAAATATTCCCTCTTTCTTTTATGATTTATGACTTTAAAAGACATAATGCAGTTTATTAGTGATCTCAAATGGTAATTAATTTAGTAATTAAGTTAGTGTACTTAATGTTAGCATACTGTTTGTAATTAAAATCCACCACAATTCAGCTAATGGAAGCAGCAGCTACGGGAATCTTTATGTGATTCTTTACGTGTCTACATTCTGTTGCATAATCAAAACATCTGAATTTTTTTTCCTGTTTGTGTTACAGTGGAAAGAAGTGGCCATTGGAGTGGGTGCCGGATAAGGACACCTGTTAGTTCTTCCAGTTTCACAAGGTTCCCAATGCTGAAGGTGTAGAAGCACTGTTACATGTCAGATTTGTGATTTTTTATTTGTTTGTTATTCCTTCTTAATGTTATAAACATAAACAAGACTGCCTGTTGGGCCTGGAACTCTCCACAGCTGCTTGTGGCTGTATTTCATTTTAAACTTTGTATTGTTTATTACTACTGTTGTGTTTTGTTGCACACCAATTGTTATCACTTGAAGATACGAATCTTCATTGACACTACTATCTTCAATATTACTACTGTTGTGCTTTGTTGCACACCAATTTTTGTCACTTGAAGATATATGAAAAAAATACCAAATGAAGTACTTTGTTCTTTAATATCATACTATCTGAATTTTTTTCCTATTTGTGTTACAGTGAACCATGTGTTACCATTGAATTTCCCCTCAGGGATTAATAAAGTAATAATAATATATTTGTTGTATTAATTTCTCTACTTCATTATATCTACACCCAAGACAACATACAATTTATCTGAAAATTTGGTTCAATGCATTAATACAAAAACATGTCAGCTTTTTAAAGAGTTGCATTACTACCTTGTCTCTCTATATAGAAACCATATTGGCTCTCCTGTGATAGGTGACTCTCACTTATTACATATTAACACTAATCACATATTTTGCCTAAAAATTCCATTTATTCCAATAATGGAAAGGCCTTGGCTCACAGCATCTAAATTTCAAAATGACTGTTACCCGTTACACAACTTTATACAAAGCTCTTTTTCATAAAGTCTTGTAGATACATTGTATCTGTATGTCATACATTTTTAAGAACAACAAAATGCAGCTGTTACTTCCATCTTACTTTATAAGCTGTTACTTACTTTTACCTTCATCTCCACATGGCTGTGTTATTACCAGTTGTGTTGGGATTAATTAGATTACTTTTAATCAGATGACTCCAATCANCTTTTACCTTCATCTCCACATGGCTGTGTTATTACCAGTTGTGTTGGGATTAATTAGATTACTTTTAATCAGATGACTCCAATCATATATATTTTTCAGTAACAAGGTAAACTAATGGATTACATTTAGATTTAGATTTTTTTCACATAATGAAACTCTCATTAGTGCCATTACTTCAGCACAGGACTTCTGAAAGACATTGTGAACTTACATGTTGGCCTAGCGTGGTGAGTGTTTGTCCCAACCAGTCTGCCTACTGTTTGTCAGTCAGCAATCACAATTTTAAATGTTATTCATTATAATTTAATATGTGAATCCAATCATAGATCAGTCCTAATGATTTGGTTCGTGTTATACTTTTTATAGGAGCTGATCTGGCATATAGAATGTCAGTAGTAGTCTACTTTTTAGAGAGAGTTATTACTACAGTTTTAGTATTAGAAATTGTTGAAAGTGTTAAGTAACTTTGATTGTGATTATTAAGTAACTTACCAAACATGTATTACCAATGAGGTGACAAGAATTATATCAGGCTTGTATATAAATGTGTATTACTCTTGGAGATAATGCTATTGGAAGTGTAATATAATGGCCTCTTTATTGGAAATGATGTGATGATGTGGAGTAATTGGTGATTGTTAATAAATGTTTATACCACATAGCCAAATGATCACAGCATAAACAGTCATAATTATGAATGGGTGTTCTGTAAAAGTAATAGTATGGTAGGATGGACACAGAAGTTTTGTGGTATTGAAGCTGAGGGCCAGGCAATTTACGTCTTTGAGCACTTCAGTTCTTTTAAAATGCAACTTTATTGTCATAAAGGATCATAATTTTAATTTCTGATCAGTCTGGAAGTTTTTTCTTGACATATGGTGCAACCAATAAGAATTTTCTTGGTGTTAGGTTTGTCAAAAATGTTTAATTATTTGGAAAAAAAACGTGCTCAAAACGGTACACAATGGCTGCTTTAATTTCAGATAGGTCAAAACAACATTATCATTTAGAAATTTGATCATTATGTCCTCAAAATCAAATGTTTATCAAGTTTTCTGCATTTCACCCTCCATGTCTCTCTGAAATGCATGCCTGACAGAAGGGATGGGGCCAAGGGGTGAAAATTAAAACTTTGTCATAGGATTAAACCAAACACATCACCAGAAAGGTTGTGATCAGGACAGTAATATCATGACAGTCTGAGGGCTCTATGTAGCTCCTGCTTTGAGATATTGACCTCTGAACTTTGACTTTGGTGCATTTTGTAAGTCTTACAATTCAGCAACAGAATGGACTATAATCATAGGACCAACTGTTATACAAAGGTCTTGAATTCTTCTATCATGTGAGCTACAGTTTGGTGTGATCACCAATAAAGGGCATCCCAAAATATGGTAAAAACTGAATTTCACCAAATTATCATTACATTTTTTTTAATCTGCCCAAACAGCAGTGGTCCCCATCTGCCCAACCCCCCTGGTGCACTGTCAATTTTATATTGCAGGCCGCCACTTATGAGAAACAGTCATTTTCAAAAGAAAACTACAATTCCCTATTGCTACGCATTACAAAGTGACAGGAAAGTCTGTTAAATATGTAGTTCTTCCGGTTTACAAACTCGGGTTGTAAGCAATTAGGGTTTTAAAAAGTACTAAAGTCCCTCCTAACTTCCAAACAGACATGCTAATGCAAAAGCATAATACTTGTTGTATGACTTCAGACCAATAAACACTGTATTATGATAGTAATTATTACCCAAAAAGGGTTCTTTGGGAGGGTTGTGTTCGTTGCTAAGGTAACCGTTTTGCCGTTGGCACGTAGTTTGTACGCAGACACGGAAGTAATGGTTCAACAGATCCGCGAAACACCTTGTGAGTTATCATTGGAGCACAAACTATCATCTTTCTCTATTCCTGCACACTCGTTTTTTGTCCCTTAATCTATTCAGATTTTAATTACAGCGTCGGTACATTATTAAACATAATGATATAGTTCTTGTTGCATAATAAAGGAACAACGCGTGCAAATCTCGTGAGAGTTTCACAAATCAGGAGTTCCCTTCTAGACATGAATGAGGTATCTTGTCTTATGTAATAATAATAATAATAATAATAATA